TTATTTTTATTTTTTTATTATTTTTCTCTTGTCCGCTATTTTTTTTGTTTTTTGTGGGTGGGGGGGGGGGGGGGGGGGGGGGGGGGGCCCCGCGGGCCCCCCCCCCCCCACCCGCCCGCCAGCAGCGGCAACAAACTCGAATACCAGCCTTTACTGGAATTTCTTTAAAAATTAAAAAAAAAAGAAAAAAAAAACCAAAAAAAAAAGGAAAAAAGGAAAAAAGGAAAATGGAAAAAAGCGTGGGGTTCGAACCCTAATACCCTTTAGCAACCCTTAACAACCCTTAGCACCCTTTAGCACCTTGGAGGAAGGCTCGAAATAGTACGTATTTCGACTTTTTTCTCGAAAGTGGGGAATCATATAAGACCCGTTATTTTTAGAAGATGCACGCAATAAAAACGCTAGAAGGCTGCGCACGGACGAACTTCCTTCTCGAGGAATTTTTCCATTTTAGGAAAATGAGATCAGCCAGATAATATCCCTCGTAAACTCGGGCATAGTTTATCGATACTATGTGTAACCTAACTTATAATTATTAGTAATTACTCGTAGTTAGACTGTTCCATTATATAGGTAGTTGGTGGGTATGTATTTTTGCGTATGTTGATAATCCCCTAAACCAAGGTTGACGTCGAACCTGCATACTACAAGTCTACAACATTATATGGGGTCAATAATGTTAGGTATAGACCCAAATCCTTAAATCTGTCAGCCTGTATACCAAAACCAGATAAAAATTATCTATCGGGGGATAAATTATTTTAAAAAGGATAGGCCATTACATAGAAGCCACTATCTCGTAACTCACCGTCTATGCATCCCACTATATAATCCCATATCCCTCATATCCAAGTAAAATCAGATACTCAAGATACCACCGTAACCTTAGCCCTCTTTAACCACTCTACATCTCCCTTAACCGTGGCTTTCCTCACATTATACAACTCGTCAATAAACGCCGGGACAAACGTGCCCGGACCCTTGACATCCGGTCTCTCCGCTGCTAGCTCCGCCGCGATGCCGTAGTGCAATATCGCGGATATAGTCGCGGCGAGCTTGTCGTTGGGGTGCGCTGCGACCGCAGCCGAGATTGCTGTGCCTAAGCAACATCCCGTGCCCGTCACCAGTCCTAGGTACTCGTGGCCGTTCTCAATCGCGAACACTGACTCCCCGGCTGTCACTAGATCCGTTTTCCCTGTCATTACAACGACATGTCTGCGGAGCCGGGCCAGCTCCTTAATCGCGGATCCTAGCTCCTGGAGGTTCTGGTTGCCGGGGCCACTATCCACACCTCGTTGTTGGACGTTGGACCCCCCGGGAACGCAAGACAGGATCTCCGATTGATTACCTTTAAGGACATCGACGTAGCCGCCGCCAAGGATAGTCTTGACGGCCGATCGTCTTACAGCGGTTGCGCCGGCACTATACACATATGTTAGCTTACCACATATAAAGACTCAAAAGCACAGTATGTTGAGACTTACCCCACAGGATCATACACAACGGGCTGTCCAGCATCATTGTATGCCTTGAGAGCCTTCAAGTAATTCGTCAACCCGTCCGGCGTAACCGTGCCCATGTTAATAACCAGCGAACCCCCCAGCTTCGCCAAATCCTTAGCCTCTTCGCCGTAATTCGCCATGATAGGGCTGGCGCCCACACTCAGCGCAACATTGGCAGCGAAGTTCTGGACAACCAGGTTGGTCATATTATGGGAGAGCGGTTTCTTGCTGTTAACGGCTTTAATAACAAACGGTACGAGGGCGAGCAGCTCCTGGGGCGATCTCGTCTGCTGGCCTGGAGTCACGCCGGATTTTGCGAATGCAGGTGGTGATTTGACTAGCTGAAGGAGTTCTCTTGAGGCTGCCTCTGGGTCTCGAGCTGCCATAATGGCGCTCACGACTGCAACGCCGTCAAGCGACTTTCCCTTTCCGGAGCTCTGCCATACTACACGTGATACGTTGGATGCATTGATGCCGCCAATGCATACCGTTTTCACGGGCCAATTCTCGGCTGCGATCCTAAGTAGAATTTCCTGGAGGCCTTCTACTCCGATAATACTCTTTGTATTTTCTTTTCTATAATGCTATTAGTTAATTACATTACCTAGGTAAGTAAGGGTTAATGATCTGGAGGTTTCTTACGTAGATGTAGCGAACACAGTCCCGATACCCAAATAATCAGCGCCTCCTGTAGCTGCGGACTCTACTTCAGCAATGTTGCTCACGGTAACGCCAATAATGGCGTCTTCTCCCAGGATCTTTCTAGCTGTCGGTAGATCTATATCGACGTTGGGTCAGTCGATTTACGAAAGTGTTACGTCACGGGAATATGGGTTTGGGGAAACCATCTTTGGGAAGACCATCTTACCGAGATCATCTTGTCCGATATGCACGCCCTCGCAACCGACCGCAAGCGCAACATCTATGCGATCATTGATTAATAGCGGAACATTGTACTTCTTGGTGATCTGGTGTAGCTTTCGGCCCGTTGATACCAGTACACCTGTATCACTAGTCTTGTCCCTGTATTGAACACATGTGACGCCACCCTTTAGAGCAGCTTCGACTACCTCGCATATATCCGCATCGCCGAGGATAGCGGGCGTCGAGTCTGTCACAAGATATAACGAGTAATCGACCTCGTGCTTCGGCATTTTCTAATATGTAAGAAAGCTGGTTAGAAGCTAGTGACGACGAGGCCTTTTGTGACAATTTACACATCAATTGTGTAATCATCCGTCTATAACGTTAGTATGATATAGGTATTAAGTAACTAAGCAGCTAAGGTATGTAACTAGCGGGGTTAGTCTTCAACTTATTCCACATTTCCACATGTTACTCTCATCAATATACCCACCCTATCTGATAGTCAGGTCTGGGCCGAACTAATGCACACAAGTACGTGAAGCTCATGAGCCACTAGGTACTTGTTAGCCCTTCTAGCTACCTAAGGTTTAATTTACGTATAGTATGACTGATGTCATTTACCTATCTGGCATTTCTTTTTATTCTTTTCCTAATCATGTCTACCTACGACGAAGTAGAACTACTGGAATCATAGCAGAGAGCATTAACACATGAGCTCAGCAAACCATCATCAAGCATTACTCCGTTATCTCATAGAGCTCACTCCTGTCCAAGTGTGCTGCTCTTTACTCAGCTGCTGCAGTCGGCGTTCTTGGCTTGCCCGACGAACTCATCCACGAAAAAGCCGATGCGCTACCAATAGGATTTGCAGAAGTACGCGGCGTTCCCGATGCGCTTCGAGCCTCACGCGTAGTTGTGTTCGCCTTCGGTTCCACGCTACTAGACACCGTTCGCTTCGATTCCCATCGGATACTGCTACTGCTATTGCTGACACTATCTGCCCCGGCATGGCTCTTACGTCTAGGTTCGACGCTACTTTTGGGCGCCGAAGTTGGTTCGTAAGACGTTCCCGTTCGTGCTGAGGACGAAGATGCCGTCGATTTTGTCGGTTTCAGAACTTTCATACTCCGAACCCCACGCCCAGCAGGCTGATATCCACTCAGCGGGGAAGCATCCTTTTGTTCGTTGCCATTCAGAGCAGGTCCATGGCGCCACGAATTCCAGATGCTTCCTGCCGCTGAAGACCGCCGCTGATGGTCACTTGGTGCATCATTCGGCTGAACTTGGGACTCCTTCGCACCCGACTCCGAGCTACTCATCTCCTTGTAGTGCCTCTCACTTTCACCACCACTTTCTGATAAGCTACTTGCCCCGACAGTTGCGGCCTGCTGGCTCGCTAGTTCCGAAGATGGCGATGCAAGTGCTCGGGTGTCATCTTCGCCATGCACTTCTCTCGTCTGGGCTCTGTCAGACTCCGTGGCCGTGGTTGCTTGTGACTTGGCTTCGCCCAAGACAAATGGGCGCGCCGTGGCGTTCAACTTCGGTTTCTCGGGGAAGATAGCCATCGTACGAATATGCTTGAAGATTCCATTATCTTCGGGACGTACGAAGGGTACAGATAGTTTCTCACGCTCGCTACTGTACAGTGTCATACGATTCTGCGAGAACAGAATATCGGCACAATGTTCTCTCAATGCCTCGCTACCAATGAAAGTGCGAATAGTCTTTTTGGCGTCAATATTGTCGGGTAGATCTACCCCTGCTACTTCGAACGTGCACGTCAAACTCGGTATCTGCGGAGCTGGACTCATTCCTCGAGAACTCGGTTGAGACACAGTTGCCTCTGTCAAGTACACGGGTAAACGAATTCGGTGAACACCATCCAAATCGCGATGAATATCACGTGTCAAGTCCAATTCTTTGATCAGAGAAAATTCGACAACAGACTTCTGCGACCCAGTGCACACGACTGCGTATAGTAGAGTATCGTGTGCAAAATTAGGAGCTAGCCAGCATCGGATGATTGAAGGCACGGAACCCAACACAAACAGGCTCGGCGGTGGCTCTGGAATCCCAATCGGCGAATCGTCATCTTGACCGGCGGGCGTAAACGTAGTGTCTATACCTAAGCTACTTCCGCGTCCGGAGGCGATCGAATGGTGAGAGTGGACCGAATGGCCGGCAGAGCTATGTCTACCATCCGACTTGTGAGACAGAGAGCGTTCCATCATGTTATGGTTGCCAAGGCCGCTGCCGGGTCTGATTGGACCGAAGTCGCCTGAATGGCGACCATTTTGTGCCCAGCTCGAACCCTGGAGAGCACTCTCATCGAAGCGAACACTATTCGCTCTAGAAGCTGCGCCGCGTCTTGTTGGTTCATCCTCAGCATCCAAGTGCAAACTTCCCAGAAGGCTCTGACCCTGCTCCTCAAAATCGTCAAAAATTTCGTTTGGAGGCATCTGAAGTGGCCCTAAAAAGCTGTTAGAATCTATAGTAGCTATATATCCGTGATAAACACAAGAAGAACGAACCATGCTGTGGCGTACCGCTTAGAGCGCTGGGAAACGGCGAGTTCCAAACGGATTTGATCGCAGCATCGTTAGCTTGGTGCTTCTCCAACCGGGAAATTCGTTCAGCATGGTTATTCTGTATCATCTGCATCTGCTTGACGTCCATTTGGACACTGTAGAATTCGTCACGGGAAACCGGGAAACGGGGATCCATGCCAACCCAAGTTATTAACGTCACAACGTGAGTATGTAAGACTGATAACAGGATAAACGGACTTGACTAAATTCAGTGAAGGAGAGGCTCGGTCTGCCTAGGGGGGCTTTGATAGAGATCGGAAACGGCGGGACCAACAAGTCGACTTTTGAGAAGCTTGGATGGCCGACTCGTATCATCAAATTGTGATGATGTGCCAAACTGTAGCCCATCGACTTCATGTATAATTCTATAAAAGGTGCTCTGCGGCGCAATCGACTCCCCGTTCGAATTGATGCGACCTCTATCCTTAGTATGTGAAAGACGGAGTCCACCACCACCACCTCCTCATCGCAGAGGACCGAATGGTCACTTTGCGGGTTACTGTGTAGGGCAATATTACTATGTTCTAGTCTTAGTATATGTTGATATTTAATGGTCGAGAGGTTGTTCAAGGTCGAAACACGAGGGCTTCCGGCGGAGATATGGAACGGACGACGCGGTAAAGCGGTATTAATTTGCAGTATCGATCAAGCGACCTTATCGTTAGAGAATCTGCTCGAGAATATTTTGCGGTTGAGAAGGACGAGACAATTCTCGTAGCACCAAAGACGAGGTCGGCGTAGCAACAATATATTACAATCACAAACTTAAGTTACACGCCAATCCAACTCTTTGTAGATGATGGAGGACGTCAAGTTCGTCTAATCGGCGGTGGCGACCGGGTTTCGCAGGTGATCTACGGGCGTAGGATTTTTTAAGTAATCGAAGGCGAAGCCAGGTAGAGCGACTGAGGAAAAAGGAAACAATTCAATCGGTGTCCTAAATTTCAGGACGGCACACGAGATGGATATATTGGGCGGATAACAAGATGGAGTATCAAAGCAGGTTAGCTACCTTGTAAAATGCGGTGCAAGGCAAAAAAAAGAGAAAAAGGAAATAAAATTATGGAAGAAGGCGGGAACTTCAGGGAACAGGGCGGTTGCTAAAACTGAGGTTTTGGAGGTTTGGATGATGACTGCTTGTAGGTTACGGATTCTCATAAAAATGGATGGCGGTTCAGAGTAGCAGTGGCCGTTCACGTTCGCAGGCACTTACCCACCATTGGATTTCCTTAGCGCGCATCAACTTTCTATGTCTCTAAGAGGTACGTACCACAAAACCACGAAACCACATTAGGTACATACTTTTGTACCTAAGCAGCTAAGTTACCTAAGGCTAGGTACCCATCTACAGATATTTATTTCCTAATGCACTGGCCAAGCGGCTGCTGACTGGGCTGATGCTGACATCAGTGTACCTACCAAGCCAGGAACCCTACAATAAAATCTCCGAATAACAACTTCGATTCCCCTAATGCAATAAGCATGTAATGTATGTCTTGCATGTTTTACGGTTTTCAGCCTTTTACAACTACATATGTAGATAATCATCACTTGCACAAGTTCCATGTAGGAAAGTCGCATTTGGGCAATCTAGGCTATTATTGTTAAAAAACCCCGAGGGTCTTCTACTGTACATACCTAAGGTATGTATGTCATATCTATGTATGAACTATTACAACGTCCCAGGGTTGAGCACTCGCCAATCTGGGAAAACTCCCTGCTTCTCTGGGAATGGGCCGATGTGTGGCTTGACAATGTCAAATAAGACCTTGTAAGCATCTCCGCTCATATGTAGTCCATCCGGCAAAAGTTGCTCCAAGGCGCCTCTTTTACCTCCAGGATATCCTAAGGGAGACCCGCCCGCGTCGAAGTCCGCCGTTAAGGAGGTAGCTTTATCCAGGATAGCCTTCTGGAGGTCGATAAGCACCACCCCAGGAATTTCCGCCGCCACCTTTCTAGCCGTCTCAGAGTAAGCAGCGCTAACGGCCGCTTGCCGCGTTGCCTGCGGATGTCCGAGGGCCAGGTCAAGCTCGGTAATTCGGATTTCATCGATAGGAGGGGGAGTAACAAGCAGGATCTTGGGGTCGTGGGCTTGAATGTATTCGTGAGTGATTATCTTAGTCAAGTTCTCCTTATATTGATCCATTGGAATGCCCTGAGTGTTGGTCGGAATATCGATGCACGCATCATTCGCACCTAACAAGACCAGCTGTAATATGCAATCATCAGACTCTGCAAGCATGAAAACACTAGGCGCACAACGAACAACAACTCGGACAGACAAGCGAATATCGTCACTTACAAGGTACTCTATCCTCGGATTCGAGGGTGACGGCGGCAAGAATATCTGCGGAAGCAATTGCAAGGCATTCTTGGTATTATAACCGGAAAATCCTCTATTGATCACGTCTAGGTGTCGCATACACTCTATGGACGATTCAGAAATAAACAATTCAGAAATAAGTACGATAAGCTTGTCTGGGAATGTGATGACATACGACTTTGTAGGGCACCTTGAAACGAGAAGCCACCTTGAACTTCGCTAGCGCCTTGGAAGAGCGAATCCCCAAAAAGGACCACTTGATTATATGGTTTCTATCCCATAACTACATTAGATTCCGAAGTGTGAACTTGAGAGTAAGAAAGGGAGGATATGTCGTGATACTCACAGCCATGGTTTCATCTGAAGACTTAGAAGAATGTAAGTTGCTCAGTACTAGTAGCGAGGTTGAGATTGAAGCTAGCCACACCCACAAACCACAAACTGCCTAGGTACTGGGACAAACTCGAGCTAAAATAGTGGACAGAAAGATGAGGGGAGAGTTGGTCGACTACCCGTAACGCATGCATAGGTAGGCAGGTAGATAGGTAGGTACGGCCCGATCACTGCGGGAGTATTTCTACCGAAGGCGTTGGAACTGGAACGCACCCGCCAATCAGGGGTTAGAAATAATGACCTCTTCTCGATTTCCGCCGTATAATAATATATCCTTTCGGCCCCGTAACTGTTTAAGCTTGAAGAGTTTACATTTCTTCTAATACCAACATGCTTTATATTCAGGTTTCGTTAATGCCCAATACTACCAATGTTCCACTGTCGTCCCATTTTCAATATATTCATCAGGAGGTTTTCACGAAGTTTGCTCCTTTCGTTAACATGTGATGGTTGGTTATAGTATCGAGTTTAGATTAACTAGATCCTCGCCAACCAACTAATACTTAATAATACCAATTCGTATGTCTACATGATATTTACGGGTCTAGCCAAGCTACATCATCTTGTCGTATTAAAATATGTTAGGTGAAGCTTCCAAAAGGAGATCGTAGCATAAAAAGCAATGGTAAGAACAACAATATAGATAACAGCTAATAAAAAGACTGCCGCTTCTATACTTGATACATAGGGAGTGATGACAACGTACATTATCTCGACGCAAGATTACAACACTGAAAAAAAAGAATAGCCTAAACCCTTATACGTAATGACGTTACCAAGCTCGTCATTAGAAGGAAGCGAAAGCCACCTACATTTCTTCAGCAAGGAAGTGCACATAATTTTTCTATAGGATAGGTACATAGGTACATGATCTTGTAAGTTGTTGGCGCTTAATTCGGAAATTGTAAGACATTAGAAGTTGGTAAAAGTGGAACTCTTTATTATCTATATTATTTGATTCGCCAAACCTCTTATCGGCAAACGCCTCTACTTAGGAAACTTTACTCCCCGCTAAAATTTTGGGAGAAAAGTTCAATTGCAAATCACGAAAAGTCTCCCGGCAGATAATCGAATGCGCGCCTGTTAGCCACGGAAACTCCCAACTCCCAATTCTCGAGGCCAGGATTTTCTGATGGAAATAAGTGCGCTGCCAGTACGAACACCAAGATGACGACAGCATTGGCTGCGCAACTCGCGCAGATCGCTGCGAATTCAAAGTCGACACTTGATATCAAGGCGCAAAAAGCTGCACATTCGAAGTCGTTAATATTCGAGCCGCGAGTTGCCGCGTCACAAAATTTCCAGACCTTATACAGTATCTGCTACCAAGGATATGAAGAGCTATGCCAACTAGATTCGCGATTTATGCCCTTTGGCGCTACTATATTCAGCGAGCAAAGCCAAAATGAGGACCGGACTCAGATGACTGCCGCCGAGAATGCAGAACTCGACAAGAAAATAGACTCCTTTCTTCACCTAGCTGGCGCGCGGATAAGGCTCATGCCAACTATCAAGGCAATAGAATGGCTTATTAGGAGGTTCAGGTAGGCTTGCAGAGTATGTACTACTGAATCCGAATTTTAACATTACAATAGGATTCACGAATATAACACGGCCATGCTCATTTCGACATTTTTACCGTACCATACTATCCCGGCCTTTGTAACTCTCCTTTCTATCCTCCCGAGTACGATACCGCAGGTGTACAAGTTCTTAGATCCCTACGTTCGATCCTTGACCCAGCCGCCGAGATCTGTTCTCGTTCATCAAGCTACACACCATCCAGACTTCCTTGCTGCGCTCTCGACATACACCCTGGATGCCTGCAGGGCTCAACAACACTATCCTGCTTTAATATCATTCTGGGGCGGTATTATGACCGAAGCAGTGAATGGCATGCTAGACAGGATGCGATCCGGTCGCCGCAGTATCCAACGAAGCAATGATCAGACTCTCTTACACCAGATTGGTCCAACTCTTGGCGACGCGTTAGTAATGCACAAGGTCCCTAGTCTGCAGATAGCTTGCTATATGGTGATTTCTGTTTTCGTAGCGAAGGGTGACCTCGACGATGCTGCTATCAGTGCCTTGATGGACCAGCTCGTTGCTGGATGGACTACCGAGTCTCTCCGTCCTGGTCTTGTTTGTCTCTCGATCCTTGCCCAGTACCGTTCTGCAAAGCAAATGTCAGGAAAAGTAACAAGGGCGCTGCTTAAAATTCCGAATCTGTCTGGCCTCCTTACTGATATCAGCAGAGAACACAGCATTGGGAAATTAGCAAATGGACTCTGTCTAGCTTTGGTCGAGAGGGCCCACAAGAAAGGCGACACAAAGGGTTTATCGGTAGTTGAGTCACTGCTCTTGGGCTCTACTCTTAACGACCAACAGAGAGCAGTCGTTTTCAAGAGTCTATTATTAGCAGCTCATAAAGTCGAGGACAGCATTGATACACAAGGAGAGGTTCGAAAGGCCCTCGCATCCATAATCATCAAGCTCTCTCAATTAGAGACGGACTCTGGGAAAATCTTCGTTAAAGCAATCAATGAGACTGAAATTGATGTGGATGCGCTAGAGCTGAGGCTTGGTACGAATCTTCAAGCGAGACGACTTGCGATCGAGCCTCAACAAGATGTTGCAATGGTGGATAATGAAATATCAACACCCGTGCCCGTCGAAGACTTCAAATCTGCCCTTCAGCGAGTGAGCAACTTATCGGTCTCATCATCGGATTCGTGTCTACGAGCTAATACTTTTGATATTTTCACGGATCTATGTTCTGTTTTCCTTTCCGGTCTTACAGAGCCAGATAACCTTAAAGCTTTCGAGGAATTTGCACCTATACAGCATAAATTAGCAAACGAAACCCCCTTTTTCTTCACGTTCCTTATGCGAATATGGTGCGGGCCATATCCCGTCTTAGCTCGTGTCGCAGCTCTGGATATGGCAAAATTACGCCTAAAGAGCAGCGATTGCGGTAGCATAGATTTCCAGGCTCTCTTACCATATACCCTGGCGGGATTGAATGATCCGTCGAAAAGAGTACGACGCGCTGCCGCAGACCTAGTCACCGTGCTAGAAACCTCATTCCAAGAACTAGTTAAATCTGAAAACTGCACACGCTGGGCTGACAATCTTCTGTACGATAATGCTGACGCATCGGTTTGGACGACAGTAGACGTCTGTCACAAACTACTACGGAATGCCATTACCCCTAGCCTCGAGGAATGCGTATTAAGCGCCGATTACGTTGTCGAAGTTCTGCAGAGCGTATTGAATAGTAGCTCGAAAACTCCGACTGATGAAAATAAGGATAAGAAGAGCCACCTTTCTCATGGAACGAGACGCTCTGTGCTGACTTTCCTCGCTTCCCACACGATCCACACGCCACTAATGACTCTCAAGATTCGCCTTCTCGCGTCTCTAAACCAGATTAAGGGCGTATCGGGCACTACCCGTACCCAGTTGCTCTTACCACTACTCAAATGGTGGGCTTCCTTGTCTTCCGAAGATGCTACGCGTATCTGCTCTCAGGACGGAATCGAAGAGTCAGCCTTTGATCAAAGCTCTGTCGAAATTGTACTTCCAAACGATAAAGATGGCTTAGAATTCTTGTTAGATGTTGTGGGGTCTAAGCAACTGCTAACTAGGCTAAACCTCCTCCGCGTTATTTTCTCGCGCATTCAGAATTCATGGCCCTCTATGAAAACGGAAGCGAGGCACATGGTTGCCAAACGTATGCTTGAGTTGTCCCAGGACGACCTATCTAGTGATGGTGGTGTAGTCTCTAGTGAAGCTGCCAATCTTCTAAGAAATGTTGAACTCACGACCGATATCCTCCTGTTCTTCCTAGAGTCTTTGCAGCCAGCAGCAAAGATGGCTACCGAACCCCCATCAGGCAAGCGGAGGAGAACCAGTTCCTCGGAAACCCATCGGGGACTTGGTACGCAACCAACCCCAGAGTTGAGCGCGGTACTCAGGCAAGTGACCTTTGTGTTACAACTTGTCGAGGGGTCCGAGCCTGAAAAGCACCCGGAACTACTCAACGCTCTTTTCAATGCCCTTTCAGAACTGCAACATTTCAGAGTTCTTGTCGGTTCAGAACTTGGGTATCTTCAGAATCTGATTCTTCGGAGTTTACTGGCTATGGTCCCTGCGTACAAGCACGATAAGTCGTTGAAGATCGATAGCACGGGTGGACACGGTGATCTGCTTGTCAATTGCATTCAGAAATCATCGAGCCCGTCAGTGCAAAATACTGCACTCCTACTTGTCGCGCGCTTAGCAAACGTCGCTCCAGACTTGGTACTTAATAGTGTGATGCCGATCTTCACACATATGGGAGGCTCGGTACTCCGCCAGAGCGATGATTACTCTGCTCATGTGATCAACCAGACAGTCAAGGAGGTCGTGCCACCACTTATCCAATCACTCCGTAAAGGAAAGATCAGTCCGCTAGCAGGAGCCTCTGAGCTTTTGCTCAGTTTTGCGACCGCGTATGAACATATACCATCTCATCGAAGACTTGGGTTATTCGTCTCCCTTGTAGAGACGCTCGGTGCTGAAGAATTCCTATTTGCGCTCTTGGCCATGCTTACAAACATGTATGGTACTACCGATCAGGTGTTATCATTTGCTACCGAAGTCTTCAACTATTTCCCAGTCGAAGTCCAGCTCCATTCTTTGATAAAACTGCTCAACCTTATTGGGGACATATTCCAGCCGAGACCTAATCTCTCTGCCGTGCTTCTTGGTGCGAGTGAACAAGGCGACCGAGATCCTCTCAAAATCGGGTTTCGCCAGCTGGGTCTTGTTCCACATCTTTTATCTAGTAGGAAGCTTACCACGCAAATCGCCAAGCTTACTGAACGAGATGACATGGAGGCTTCTAAAGTCCGCGAGCTCTATTCAACTCTACTAGAAGACCTCTTAATTCTAGCGGACTCGTTAAAGCAGCAGAAGAATCTGTATAACCGCTGTGGTGAGGCACTTTCGAAGCTTCTAAACCTCCTTTCCATTGGAGAATTTATCAAAGCCGTCGAAACACTTCTGGATCGGCCCGATACTGTCTTACGTCGAAAAGTCCTCCGGGCTGTT